GAAAGATGGCGAGGACCTCAGTGACCTAATGGCTCTCTCTCCCGAGGAGATACTCCTTAGGTGGTTCAACTATCATTTGGAGGAGGCCGGCAATCCAAGGAGAGTTCACAACTTCACTAAGGACATAATGGTGAGTATTAATAATAATAATGATAATAATAATATTTGCAGCATGTCACTTATGTCTGTTATAATAATAATAATAATGTCCTTTTTTGTTTGGTTTTTCTTTTATAATAATAATAATAATAATATTGATATACTGTCTTTTAATGTTCAAAAGTTTATGTTATATTTCTTTCTCTCTTTCAGGATTCTGAGTGCTATACTGTGCTGCTTAATCAAATTGCTCCAGATGATGCCGGAGTCGACCTTTCTCCTTTACAAGTAAGCAAGAGAATACATGCACACATAATTCCATATCCTCTGTTTGTAGGAGAAAGACCCTGAGAAGAGAGCTACTCTCATGCTGCAACAAGCAGACAAGATTGGATGTAAGAAATTCGTTAGACCAAAGGTATAGGTGGAGGGAGGGGGAGAGAGTTTTCATTTCTTCCCCTCTAGGATGTAGTCAAGGGCAACCAGCGTCTTAATCTGGCATTCGTTGCTAATCTGTTCAATACCTACCCTGCCCTCAAACCAACCGAGGAAGGACTACCGGACTTTGATCTTGGGGACTTTGGAGAGACAAGAGAAGAGAAAAGTAAGTACTCATTAGTATTCATATTATTATAAATTAATTATAAATTATTATTAATTAGCATTCAGGAACTGGATGAACAGTTTAGGCGTCAACCCATTCGTTAATAGTTTGTATCAAGACCTTAAAGACGGGAACGTTCTATTGCAAGTAAATAAATTATTTATTTGAGTTCAAATTTTAAATTTTTAATAATGATATTCCTCCCCCTCCTCTCTCCAGCTGTTTGATAAGGTTAAGCCTGGTATTGTCAAGTGGGAGAAGGTCAACAAGCCTCCATACAAAATGGGAGGGAACATGAAGAAACTTGAGAACTGTAACTATGCCGTTGACCTTGGAAAACAAATGGGCTTCTCTGTCGTTGGAATCGGAGGCAAGGACATATTTGACGGAAATAAATTGACACTCGGTAAGAACTAAATATAATAATGGAGGGAAAAGTTTTCATTTCTTTTCTCTCCAGCTATTATTTGGCAGCTGATGAGAGCTTACACTCTCGCCATGTTACAGAAACTGTCCGGATCAGACAAACCCATTGAAGAGGACGCCATCTTACTCTGGACCAACACTACTGTAAGTGTACCAAGTTTTACTATGATATACTAAGTTTTACTGTGTTTTACTATAATATACTAAGTTTTACTGTGTTTTACTATCATTGTAGTTAGAGGAAGCAGGAAAGACCCACACTATAAGCGGCTTCAAAGACCAGAGCATCAGTACCAGCTTGCCAGTCATTGATCTTCTTGACGCCCTCAGACCAGGAAAAGTCAATTACGAAATTGTATTAACTGCCCCATCCACTGATGAGGTAAATGGAG